CCTCTTACAAAGCAAGCCTGGAGATTCCCAGCTGCCTGGGCTGAAAGGCATTTTTCCCTTATGCTGTTATGCATAACCTCTATCGTCATTTCGGTACAGATCAATTGTCACAACAAGGACTCGCAGTCCAGAGATTTTATATATAAAAGACTTGTGCCCCAATCTTTGCCTCTTAATCACAGTATCCGCTCAAAGGGCTGTGGCTTATGTTCAAAGGAAAAAGGTTGGAAAGCAAAACTCCAGCAAATCTATACAACACCTGCACTCCAGGTTTAACAGGAACGGCAAATAAAACACACTTCATGGAAAATCTGGAACTGTGTTGTACTAGAAGTACATAGAAGTGTCTAAGTGGTCAGCAGATACCTGCCAGGGCAACCCATCCATATGCAAAGGTCTTCTGAGCTAGACATTTTTCAAATTGGACAAGCATTTCTTTTTATTTAGCAAGGGGGAAAAGAGGGTGGGTTAACAGGTTTGACCACAAAAACTTTGGATCGCAAAATGCATACTCTTTGAGAAAGATTAAATTCAGAACTGGATCCGTCTCTGGCGCGTGGGTTCATTTTCTTAACAAAAAAAGAATGTATCCCAAACGAGCCATTCAACAAGAGACAAAGTACTGCCCTTCTTGCAATGACCTCCTCTGGATCTGATAATCTGGGGTCATTAAAGTAGTGAGATCTGATCTTATCATATGCGATTTCACTATTTTTTTTTTCAAATTGCCTCTATAAAGCCTTTTCCTTTAGTGCCACATCATATAAGTCACACAAAAGTCTAAAAATGGCAGCTGCTTCTGTTTTCACTCCCATACAGTTTCCATAGTCGTATCAATGCACTTTTATATGCGTACATGGCAATTTAATTCTATAGAATGCTTAAAGAATGAACTGCAGTGCAACGATTGTCCTGATCCCGGTTTGGAGGCTCTAAAGCAGTCAGAACATAAAAGAACCCACAAACCCTCAGCAAGCACCAGATGTGCATCCCCACCAGAACGGGTCATCCATGGGGAAGGGATGCAGAGCCCGTGCCTTGCACATCTGCATGCATGCATCAGGTCATTTGTGAGTGCAACATCCTACCCGTGTAACTTTTTATGTGTCCCACCTACTGAGCAGACCCTCGGGAAGGCAGTTTAGTGAAACCCACAGAAATCAAAGGATACTCAGAGCGCAGTCTCTGTCTGTCCAAGTTTCATCCTGCGACCCAGCCTGAGTGAAGACAAGCCTCCCTAAGGCAAACGCTTCTCCCACCTACTACTCGCTCATGGAAAAGAAAAGAGCCTCAGATGACAGGAGAGGAAGAACTCAGAGTGACACAAGATCAACTTCATGACAAGAGTGCCTTTCTCAGAGAGATGCACCATCCTCTGGCCACTGGCCCTGTGCAGGAGGCCTACTACTTGCTCATGGAAAAGAAGAGAAAAGAGCCTCAGATGACAGGAGAGGAAGAACTCAGAGTGACACAAGATCAACTTCATGACAAGAGTGCCTTTCTCAGAGAGATGCACCATCCTCTGGCCACTGGCCCTGTGCAGGAGGTGGCCCTTTGCCTCACCGCCGGCAGGCAGTCACGGCGTGAGCCTGCAGAATTCCGTCCATGAGCACTTGTTCGTCAGAGGGCACCAGAGGATTTTGGTTTTTCCTGGCTGCATGCTGAAGGCTGCCTTCCCTCCTGACCAGGCAGTGCTGTGTCCCCACCATCTGAATCTCACATATCGAATGCCCAGGCTTAGCGGGCAGCAGTACCGAGGACTCAGACAATGCTCAGGATGGGACTAACCTTGCCCAAAGCTGCGAATCAGGACATTTAATTTTACCCTGTTGAGGAATTTCAGTGGAGAGACTCAGGTAAGCAAAAAAGTGCATGGGCATGCAGATCTGCAGAATTAAGGCTCTCATACATGCTACAAACATACGTCTGGGGGTCTTAATATTTAGGAAGCACCTCAAATTCCCAAGGCATTTCACATGTTATATATACAAAGAATATTGTCAGCCAGGTCCTGCTTTAGGAAAACATTTCCATTTGACCCAGGGGCTTAATTATGCTTACAGACCTGTTGAAAACAACATGATTTTAGTACAAGTCCAAAATCAGTCGTAAGTGCTTTTCTGAAGAAGGACGGAATAAAACATTTACTTCAGTGCTTTCCTAAGTTCTGGCTTCAGCGATGTGTAACCTGGCTTTGCACTCGTCAGCGCTTCACAGTGCTCAGAGCTGTAGAACACCTGAGGACAAGGACGGAAAAACATCTTTCCTGAGCGAAACTGCAGGTAGAACTAGGAAAACGAAAGCAGAAAGACTCCCGACCCAGATTTGCTAGGACGCCTCTTTTGAAAGCCCACAGTATAGCGATAGGTAAAAACATCTCACCCAACCTAGCACCCTGCCTCTGCCAGCGGCCACCTCTGCACCTCCAGGGACCACATCTAGGGTGGGACACTTAGGAAAAGAGCATGCACAGCATGATCCCTCTCCAAAATCGTTCCCTAACTCCTAGAAATATGGGCAGGGTCTCAGTTACTATCCATGTGATGCTCCTTTGAGCGCAGCTCCCTTTAAAGATTTTGCTGGGCAAAGGACCCAGTTCAGTATCAGCTGGGAGCTCCACCTCCTGCCTTGCCTTCCCACAGATCTCGCTTGCTCTGCTGTGCTGTGGGTGACTCCGCTATGGCAACAGATATTTGGTCAATCTATCCATTGAGATTAACTTAATTAGGTTTGTGAAATAAAATGAAGACTTTGCAACAGTTCCTCTGAAACCCAAACAGTTTGGCCAGGAGTTTTTTGTCTGTGTGCTGGGCTGCAATGAGCGGGTGTTAAAGGATCACTGACAACTCGGACATCGTGTTCGTGATGTTCCTGTGACATGTAGCACCCAGGCTCCAGCGCTAGAGGAGAAATGGGACCAGTGTGTGTACTTTCCATGGGGAGACCTGACTGCGTATAACCAGTTTCACTCCTTCCCCTGCAGTCATTTGAGATGAATTTCATTCCTGTCTGAAGGGCCAGTATTTGGTGTAAGCACCACTTAAACCCCATTTGAGCATTATTTCCAGAGCTTAAGTGGAGCTGATGCGGTACCTGGTGCAAACTCTCTTGCGTAGGGGTGAATTTCAGCGTCGGTTCCCCTGACGCTGTGGGCCTTTCCCATAGCAGCAAGGAATAGAGAAGACATTAAAGAATAAGGAAAATATGATTAGGGAACCACAAACATTGGCAAGACTGACCTAGTCGTGCCCTCTGGAACGATCTCTAAGTTTCTTTTTAAACCAAGCAGATTTCCAGCTGCCCGTTATCTCTTTAATTAAAAAGAGATGTCCTTTCAAATGGCTTTTAAAAATGTAACAGCACATTTCCGGATCATGGTTTTGAAGGATGATTAAGCTGTGCTCCTTTGCCTCAAAGTTACCCTGCAATCTAGGGACTAAAAACATCAAAAAAATTAAGCTATAAAATGAATTGAGTTCTAACTGGACCAAAAAGCATGGAGTATATTTTTTCCTTCTTCCTGTACTAAAGCAGCAAGTTAGCCAAAATTTTAGAGAGAGTTCTAAACACATTTGTTCCTGAATAAGATCTGACAACCCAAATTTTGGCTGGAAGTTGGTTTCCACATCTAATGAGTAAATCCACAAGGGGATTAAATGCAGCAAGAACCCTAATAGTTGCATTTTGAGATGCTGCCATGACACCATCAAGTCAAAACGTTTGACCTCTCCATGAAATTTTGATGTAAGATGAACTGTTGATTCTACGGACTTACTCAGGAGGCAGTAATGTGATTCAAATCATCTGACTGTCAACGGAAACCATGTACTCTTATATAACAGGAAGCTAAAAATGCTTCTTCACAGTTGAGTATTTTGACTGATAACCAAAATTGTACACTGAACAAGTAATGATAAACTTTTCCCTGGAAAGCACACCTCAGGATGAACTAAATAATCATCACAGGTCATTATTAGTTAGGTATTTTGATTTATGTTAGTTTTGTTTATTTTCAAATTCCTTCTGCTCTACCCAATATATTTTGGTATATGTATCTATAGACGATCTGCAAGTATTCCATTATGCTTGCGACAATCTTGACAGGGACTCTGGAGGACAAGGAACCACCTGAACTCTTGTGTTCGGTAACAAGCAGGCAAAAACTGCCCTCAAAACATAAGAAGTGAAACCCACCAAGAAAAAACCTCCAAACAAACCAGGAAGTAAACAACTTTAACCAGCTGCCTCCTGCTTCATTAGCAATTTCTGACACCGATATCAGCATCTCCAGACCCTTTCTAAGAATATTCTTGTCATCTGTGTAACGCAAAGCTGTTAAGAAGCAGCCTCGGGAAACCTCTCAGACACTCCTTTAGCCTACCGGTCAGATTTTGATCTGTAAAATTAAGAAAAGACATGATATTATACTAGATCTTCTTTTCCAGCTACTGAATTGTGACTTGAACGAAGGCCATTAATGTACTGACAACTGCTAATAGCATAAAATATAGCAAAGAACTACAAGGTCAGAGTGAAGCTTTAAGCTGTTCTTTCTTTCCTTCACACTGTATGATACTTGTCTAGAACAGAGCTCTAAGTAAAAGCCACATAATGCAGTTTTAACCCAAATCTCAGCAATCTCTGTTAGTTCAGAGCTCCCTTACAAATAAAGGCCTTCAGAATATACCATTTCCAAGGCTCCCACTTAATGAAAGCAGGCTTCACATTAATGCAGGGTGCTGGTGCACCATCCTTCTGAAGCCATGTGTACTTCATGCAGGAACAAGGCAATGATAAATCCTAGAGTCAGATCATGAAGTGATCACTCAATGGGAATTCAGGTTTCTGGATTGAACTCTCGAAAAAGCTGGGGTCAGTCAACAAAACCAGTGTCCATTCATAACAAACTATAAACAAACAAACATACATAACAAACATACGTCTTTTCAAAAAAAAAAGAAACAAAAACCCGATCGAACAAGTGTAGAAAACACTCAAGCTGTCATTTCAGTTGCGTATTTATGAGCCACTGAAGAGTTACATGACTGCTTTCAAGCACGTGGGCAAACTGGAAGCGTTCATCTCCTATGTGAACAAAATGAACGTATGTAGATGATGAAACCGCATCCAGGCAGATACAACTGTTGCTATTGCTTTTCGTGACCACCTCAGAATGGAGTGTGCAGGAGTGACAGTGCTCTGGAGGCATGTGCATGACTGGTCCAAATCCTAGAAAGCTGACTCGGTCCCTCCCTGTGACCCTCCCCTGTAGTTTGGTGTTGGATCTCTGGTTGTTTTTCAAGACTTCACCTCTTCACAGTCTTGATCAGTGGAAAGCTCCACATCGGACAGTCCAACCTCCATCGCCATAATCAATGAAATATCTGAATCGCTGCTGACTGCTGGCTCCTGTTCATCTGTGAGGGTAGAAAAGACAGGAAAAGAGCATTATGGTCACGTCTTTCTGTCAACTTATTACTATTTTTCAGTTCTGTAGATGGGACCCAGAGGTTTCTCCACAGCTGAGGTTGTGCTTAGATTCCAAACTTTGCTCTTATTCAGTATCTGTCTAAAGCATTTAAAAAAATATCAGAAAGTTCAAGCCATCAGTAGCGAGAAACAGTGACAAGGAGCCTGGATGGGTAACACCTTCTTCTCCTCCTAATCCTCCCAGAGCTCTCCATTCCGGCCCTTCACCTCCATCGCCTTCCTCCCATCGCCTAAGCACTTCCCTCCCCGTCCCCTTTCACTTCTTCAACCTGGCATCATCCCACCCTCCCCACAAAGGCAGCAAGTGAAGGACAAAGTCACAGGCAGCTGGTGGAGCGAGTCGGCCAGCAGGAAAACATCTGCAACAGGAAAAAAACCTGCCCAAACCCTCATTACGTGACAGAATCTCTGCTAGCGGAGACTTTTAAGAGGGCACAAGGCTAATGTCTGGAAGAAGCAACATGGGTGTCGTTAGTTCTGCCCCACAACTGAGGACCAGGCTACCTGCCTTCTCAGGTGCCTTTTCTCATCCTTTTCCAGCCTCTCTTCTATTCACCCCTTCCTCTGATTTGAAGATACCTTGCAGGTTCTTGATCCAGGCTGAAGGGATCTACAACAATCCACCCAAATACAGTAAGACTCAGATTATTGACTTTTACCAAACTGCAAATCCCATCAAAACTACAAGCATAGCAGGAGTAACTTGTTTTTGTTTTGATCCCACAGCACTTACTACATGTGTATTTAGCAGCAGATAAAGGCAACAGATTTTAAAGGACTAAAAGCTTATTTTATTTCAAGAACAAATCAGGAGAAGCAAAGCACACTGGATCTCTGGAGAGATTTTCAAAGGCACAAAAATCGCATAGCTGGCCAAGTCCCTGAGAAAAAAAGTTGATGGTTCCTATTTTCTAGTGGTTTCATTACAATGATGATATTTACACTGTAACAATACAATGTATTTAAATCTGTGGCAGTTTTTCCTTTATATATTTTATTTGTCAGACAATAGAAGCAGAGCTTGATTGATGCTAAAAAGTCTAAAAGTTGAATATCTAAGAATTAATAAGTAAGAAACATTACAGAGGAGCCAGGAAAATAACTCCTCGCAGTTTAATTATTCACTTGAAGCTAAGTGAGCACAATTAGCCTCCTCTCAAGAGCTGCATGATTTTAAAATCTTTTTTAGAGAAAAAACATGTATTTACTTGTGCTGGGATTAGACCTCACATTCTGCGGATAAAGCTTGAGTGGGGTCTGCATTATTCAAACTGAAAGAGCCAGTGCTTTCCTTTACAATCCTTCCCAATTGTCACCCTGGATTATTTTTATACTTTCTTCATTGCTAGATAAATAATTAATGCACACAGCCTCTTTATATCTGTCTATTTTTTTTTCCTATCAATATCACAGTAGTAAAACATTTCAAGGCATTGCTTCTGACTATAAATGTTTCCACTGGAGGAAGTACTTACGAACTGAATGATATCTCCTGTAGACTTTAGTGGGCTTCAATTACATGGCACCATTAGGTGAACTGCTAGATCCAAGACTACTAAAGCGCATCACATATCCCGCCAAGACCTAAAGCATCATCTGTAGTGGTAGCAGCTCCCCGAGCCAGTATGCT